GTGGCTCTGGAGGCCGTACGTGTTCCAGCAAGACTCTGCTCCCTCTCACACAGCCAGCACGACCCAGGAGCCACTCCTGGGTTGTGCTGGCCGAAAATTTTCACGATCATGTTACCCCTAACATTTGGCCTCCTAGCTCTCCTGATTTAAACCCCCTGAACTACTACGTCTGGGGTGTCGTTGAGAGGTTCCCAGAAAACATTTTTTTGCTGAGTTTTTTTTTAAAATGTTGAATTTTTTTGAATTTTTATCAGTAATTACGAAATCATAATCTTCTGGAACGTTCTCAACAGTTCCAGAACACGTACGGCCTCCCCCGAGACGAGACGCTGTCAAGCCTTGGATTGAGGGAGTGGCTCCAGCAAGACTCTGCTCCCTCTCTCACAGCCAGCACGACCCAGGAGTGGCTGGCCGAAAATTTTCCCGATCATGTTACCCCTAACATTTGGCCTCCTAGCTCTCCTGATTTAAACCCCCTGGATTACTACGTCTGGGGCGCCTTTGAGAGGGAGACCAACAAGCATGTCCATAATACCAAGGACTCGTTGAAGGCTGCCATCAGGGACATTATGGCAAACATAAATAAGGATCACCTGATCAACGCATGTAGTCGTTTCAGAAGCCGCATCGAGGCCGTAATCGAGGTTGAAGGCGGTTTTATTGAATAGCTTTTGTTATGTGTATGTAAGAACATGTGTACCAAATTCTATGAAAATATATTGGATTTTCTACTGAATATTTTTGTTTTCCTCAAAGTCAAATTTTGTTCTCAAATAGCTGGCACACCCTGTATATATGCCTCTTACAGTAAGAAGAGAGAAAAAGGGTGAGTCCTTGTTAGATGGGGTTATTTCTGCTCTTTGGCCCACTGAATATGGGAGAGCCAAGGACTGGAACTTCCTTCACACGGGCAGAACAAGGCGTTTAGGCAATTTATTTTTCAATTTGGCACTCAGATAATAGTGATGTGGAAAAAAAATTATAATCCTTAACAAAGATTTGTCCAAGCAGGAAGTTATAAAAAGTAAAATTAAAATGTGGGTAATTGCTTTAATTCTTGAAACTCTGTCCAGAATCCATAAGCCATTAGCACATATCTTGAAGAGTGTGGGTGCGTGTGAACCCTGCTAATGTCGTGAAGGTGTGTGTGTAACGTTTAACAGTCACTCGTATGACAGCGGCAAAGAAACCTTCACGGTCTACGCCCATCACTTGACATTGTTTACGTTCTTCCCCACATTATGGCACCTTGTCGATGTTGAGTAAGAGCTGCAAAAGTCAATCAAGTCTAACCTTGGACGAACATGGGTAAAAGTTTAAATCAGGCCTACCAAAGGTCGAGTCTTGGCACTCACTTTTCAGGCATGGTTACTGACTAGATGGGTGTACTGAAGAGAATACGCGAGGACGAGAGGCAAGCTGGATGAGTGAGAGGAATTCAAGAACTTCAGTGTGGACTGGAATCACGCCTGCACGCACAAGAAGCGGCTACTCGTGTAAGGAGACATAAAGGCTTCCAATCTTTTACATAGTTGCCACATTTTTATTGACTATTTAATGACATTGACGTTTTGGTTTCTATAGCCTCAGCCGTTCCTATTTATAAAAGCACCTGCTTTGAAGCTTTAAGGTTAGGTGATAGTATATAAGGCTTTATGTAGGAAAAATCGTATTCTTGGGAATAGGTTCATGGGAAGGAAAATAACGCAGCATTGAAACAACCGTTGCTGCGGGACTCGCGCCATCTGCCGCGTGCGCGGATTATTTCCTGTTCTGGCAAATGACTAACACTGATGAGGAAACCCGCTACAGAGTTTTAAACGGATATTCTCTCTTTCTCCTCCAAATCCTTGTTAGGACCGAGTCCACATAAAAAGTATTGTGTCTGAGGAGTCACTCACCTACCTCATTCAAGGATGTCCGCTGATACATCGGTGAGTTTGCCATTCGATGGCTGTATGATGTCTTGGGCCTAGATTAGTTCCATACCTTGGTTCCATACCTACCTCTATACCTTTCACCCATGACAATACTTGCAACATTGTTATTCTTAATCGTATGACAGCGTAGATTGATAAGACTTCCTCTTCCATTAGCCTACTTACAGGCGTAATTAAAGAGTGAGATTGCACAGTGGTAAAGGTTTATAAAGTTGTTGGGGTTCATGTTATTCCTGCCACTTTTAACAAATTCATTCAAAAACAAGTTTTAACAAATGCATTCTAATGACTTAAAAAAGGTGAAGTTGGTAAGTGTGCACTCCTAGGTGAGGGTATCAATTCAATCCGAAAACAGTGTATCAGTTTTGTTTAAATGGAAAGTTTTGGTGTAGACTTCCTGGAAAGAGTCTCCTGAGACCTACCCAATTGTAAGATTTTCCTTGAATTCAAAATTCAGGAGGAAATGTTTCCTAACTTTTTGCTGTCACTTTTTCATTTCTGTTTCACCAGAATGAAATTTTTTTTTAAATATTTAGACAGGCATGAAAATATGCATCCCACATGAATCATTTTCTGAAAGAGCAAAGCCCCTTTTCATAATTAGGAATGACATTTCTGGCAATGTGTAGATCTTAGAGTGTGAGTTGAAAGGAAATGACTCAATTTTCTTTAATGAGAAAAAATTCAAATAGTGAAAGCCAAACTGCATTGATACCTTCATATGACTGGTTGAGTAGATTTTTCTATGAATATGCTAAACCTAGGCTAAGGAGTGGCCGATGTCAAATTATTGAGAGATTAAAAGGAAGGATGTTTTCATCCTGACAGGGGAATCGGGAAGGTGGAGACACAGGATCAGAATACATCAAGTTGAAGGTGGTTGGGCAAGATTCAAATGAGATTCATTTCCGTGTCAAGATGACAACGCAGATGGGGAAACTTAAGAAGTCCTACAGCGAGAGAGTGGTGAGAATGAACTTGATTAATTGTCTGACAGAAATGTTGGGCAAGTTTGCTGGTTCACCTGTCCTGTATATTTGAAATTCATTCTTCAAGAGCTTAAGCATAAAGTTAGCCTATGGCAGTACCAGGATTTTCAAACATCTCTTTTGAAAGAGTGATATAAGAGTGCACCAATGGTGTCTTGTTTGACAATTGTCAAAAGTGAGATTTGAAAGCCAGTCTTTTCACACAATGCAACTCTATAAAACTGCTGTGTTTCTCTGATAGGCCTTTCTTATTTGAGACAGTTGTGGTATTCATGATGACATCTCACGCCAAGGATCTCTTTGGTGTTGTCACATTTGCAATGTATGTTTAGCAAAGAGAAAGAAAAAAAAGTTGCTCTGAAACCTGCATTTGAAACCATGAAACCCTTTAAGAGTGATATATCCTTGTACTTGCACTAGCTTCAATGGTTCACAAGGCTATATAATTTCAGGAAGAGGAGCCATGCACAATCCCACCTCCATCCAAAATGTTTGAGTTTATTTCTTTCAATAATTTATCCAATGTAATTTTCTGTAGGCATAATTAGGAAAAGCTATATTTGTTGTCAAGAAGGAATTTGTTTCTTCCTGTTTAGTATTCAACTCTAAGATGACAATTTTGTCATTCTTCATAGACTTGTCAAATATTTCTAAATGATTACATTGGAAAGTTAAATTGCAAAGTCCATTATGCATCTTTACTATGTACTGAATTCATAAAATGAGTAATATATATGTTTCCTATTTTCATCCAAAGTTACAGTGGTCTACAAGTATGACATAAAGTAAATGCATTTTTCTTGTTCATTCATTTTAAGCATATTCAGTTAGAATGTGCCTAAAAGCTTATATGTGCTGGTTAAATTCATGCTCAGTGTGCAAAGGACTGCAAAGGAAAAGTATGCTCCTTCCTAAGCCTTAAATCACTTTCCTGTTGACATCATTATAGTTTCGGTGTTCATCCAGTATATTGCAAGTGTCATCAATGTGCTCGAAATGCCCTATAGAGCTCAAGTGCCAGCCAACAAAGATATTCTTTCTCTGGTGATAAATCACCCCACCAGTATAGCGTGTGCTACACTAGACAGGAAAATCAGAGGAGAAAAACACAAAGATTTGGAAACTGATAAAAATTAAATTGATTTCAATTTAATTTTTATTAACACCTTGGTTGATGTAAGAATTTCTCTTAATTGAATTTGCAGCTTTAGTCATTTCTATGACAGGTCAAATTTTGAATTTTCTTCATGTGCTCAAAATGTATAAGGTTTATGGCATTTTGAGCTTAGCAGATGCCTCTAAGTGGATCATATTGCATATGGATGGTGATTTTAAAACATTTATTTTACACCTGGCCTGTAAAATTACCTCTCACCAATGGTGAGTACTTTTTGTTTGTGGTTTGGTGAGTAAAGAGCAAAGTGTCTCGGGAATAAAGAGAAACAATGAAGTACTTCTACTGCAGTGAGTTTTTTTATTGTACTTATCTCTCCCTTATTGCAGCTTCTGCCCCTTTGTGTTGCCCATCAGAATTACTGAGTTGTGTCTTTGTGTGAGTCTTATGCAGAAGCTGCATTTTGGCCATATGGAAGCCAGAGTGAGAAAAAACTTTGCTTGACTGGCAAAAGTTGGAATAATTTTTGCAGGGCTCTTTTAGATGGTCTCCTGTCCATGTTGAGTGCTTCCTTGTGCTTGCTTGTAGCAAATGTTATCTGTTGCAGTTATTATGATAGAACTAATGGGACCAGAAATAATAGCATTAACCTTTTGTGGTCAACTGTCGGGTCACGTCCGACAATGTCTGTAGTGTTGAAAGAAAAAACCGACTGACTATCCTCCCAAAAAGCAACCATGTGCTTGTTGGGAGGAGAGTTTCATCTTATTTTGGAAATTTAAGATTAATCCATTTTCTGCTTGTATTGACCATTTGGAAGTTGCCTATTCCTCAAAGCTGTTACTGTGAGATATTTTAGATAAATGCACATAACTGCATGCCCTACTGTCCCACTTGAGGTGGAATGACCTTGACCTCATAGGATGTTTTGTTCATGATCTACTGTTTAAATTCCAGGGTGTTCCTGTGACATCACTCCGATTCCTGTTTGATGGGCGGAGGATCAATGATGAGGAAACCCCAAAGCAGGTAGGTTGTCTTCTTGCGATTTTCTTAATGTCTTGCTTTTTTTAAATTTCCTGGTATGCAAGACCTCTTAGCCAATGTGCTCTCATGAACTTTCTCCCAGTTATTATGCTAAATAATCATGAGAAGTTTCTAAGCAACAGGCTTCATCAAAACATCATCTAAAAAGCTAATAGTCAATTGATTATATGACTTGAAAAGTCAGCCTGACAGCCAAGTAGCTACTAACTTCTTGGATGTTTTCAGTAAATTGCTTTCAATTCAATTGTTAGTAGGCTAATTGAAATCAGTACTATAATATAAATACCAGTAATTATAAATTTACTGAAAACATAAAATGTCAACGTTTTCTAATTTCAGAACTTGAAGTGTCTAGTACCACATTTTAGAAGCTTGTAAAACATCAGTTTTATGTGTTTCAGTTAAACACATTCAACATATGAACCAGAATTGCTCTAAGGTGTTATCTTCATCAGTATAAAATTAGTGCAGCAGCTGCATTAAGAACTTTTAAAATTAAAACTCAGAATGATCTTGGATGGTGTTTGACAGGGGTGGGAAATATTGCAATAGAATATCCTGTTCAATGACCCTTGCAGTGTACTAATTTTTCCCTTTCACTATCAGTAGTCTTTCATTGTGATATTTCTTTTAACAATATTGTTAATATTATTGGGTTGAATATGTTTTTTGCAGCTCGACATGGAGAATGATGATGTGATTGAAGTGTATCAAGAGCAGACTGGAGGTTTTTGAAATCTGTGAACACTTGAAAGAATGAATGTGTGAGTGTCCTGGAGAATGTCAGGAGCAGCCTGGAAGATTTCAACCTGTGTTGAATGTAAAAGGATGAATGTACTGAATGATTTGCATTATTGGCCATAGCATTTTCCCATCCATCCATCAAGATTCAAGACTTCTTTCTGTCTGTTGGAGTCATTGGTTGCACTTACCTGTACAATAATGCTAAAACACTAAATATTTAATGGAAGCAAACCCAAGAAACTGAACAGCTCTGTAAGCAGTTTTCCATTTTTGATCTGTGAGAGGCTTTTCCTTTCATTTGTCCTACCTGAGAGGTAATAAACTCTCCCCACTGTCACCTAGTGATTTTCTTTTTTATAGCTCTGAATTGATCAAGATTTGTCACATGGGTTAGGAAAGAGATTGGGAATGGGGTCATTCATCTTTCATACCCTGAATTTAATAAAAATTGTGGGAGGTATCACATGGACTTTTCTGTATTTGTCATGGAGGTTTGCCCATTGAGGAAAAACTCATCAAATATTTTTGCATTCATTCCCAAGGGTTACCCCAATAAAGCAACATTTTTACTCATTTATATTCCCTCACTTCCTCACCACTGATTCCTGTTTTAGGAACTATTCAAGTTGATAGAGGTTTTGTAAAGGTTTTCTATTTATTATTTTATCATTAAATAAACTCAACCATGTCTAAGAAATGTGCAAGACCATAACCATGAATAACATCAAAACACAATTTTTTTGAGTTAGTAAGAAACAACATAGCAAACCAAAGATTAGGAGGGTGTTCCTACAAAGTACTGACTTATTCCTCTTCACATGAAAACATGTTTAAGCACATCATTTTTGAAGCACACATTTCTGGAATACTTAAGGTACAGGGATTTGTAGCTTCTATCCTTGAAGTGAAATATTTGAATTCTGTTTCATCAATTGCTTAAAGTATCTTTTTGGTAGCTGTGAAGCTAGATGTACCTGGAAATAATAGTTTTCATTACATCTCAACATCAATGATAAGACTCATTTGCTTAAATTTCTTATTTACAACTGGATGATATTGCAGTTTTATTTCTCAATGGGTACTACCTTAAGCAATATTTTCTGGTTGTGGTTGTATAATTTTGGGGAAGGTAATGTGGTTCAAGTTCTCTATTATGATAATTTCCTTTCCATTCACTATGGTGGTCACTTGGAGGTCCCTTAGTATGACTGGCATTCAGCATCTCCTACACTAGGCCTTTAACCTCCCTAGGGAATCCATGGAGCAACATGTCATAACTCATGCTTCACTGTGAAGGATGTTATAACATTATTTCATTTATAATCAATATTTTAAGATTTGACAGTTGCTTGGATGACCAACTGATCTGTTTCAATGTCCTTCACTCAACTATCTTTCTCAGAAAAAAAATACAAACTTATTGGCACCTGGTAATTATATTCACTGACTGGTAGCTCAGTAACTCAAGGTTCCCAAATGGTGGGTTGCAACCCACTTGATGTTGGAAGGTTCAATACAAGTGAAAGAAGGGTTGGGAGCCACTGCACTAACTAGTGGGAACACCTGCCCGAAACTTCACAGAAGTCTTTATTGTATTACTCCTTAAGACATCCCCATTTCATTATTGGTATGAGATTTAAAGCATTTTCATTGGTTAGATAGATCCTGGGGCACTGAGGGATCTATGCGGATGTATGCGCAAGGTAAACATTTTGAAGCCTTATAACCTGGGAATAGCAAGCGTGAATGTTAAAATATTAGCATTATATTTTTTTCAACAGGGCTATCTCTTTGTCCCCCACAGTCTGTTGGGCATTTGAGGTGGAATGACAATGGGTTTATAGGATAGCAAGCATTGTAAATAAAATAGTACAATAAAGCCCTATCATAATGAAATTTTTATTTGATTAAATTCTCCTTGTAGCAAAAAAAGTTGTATCCTCTGCTGGGTACCCATAATTTAAGATCCCACTTATAATGAACTCCCTCATATAACAATGTAATTTTCATGGTCTACTGCCCCTTAGTTACAACAGAATTTTACTGTGCAAGCTTGGTGAAAACCAAAATGGTACAATAGGATACTGTATTCAAAGCACCTCTCAGGTATTGCCAACACTTCCCCTTTAGAGAGGAAAATTTAATTTGACCTTTGTGTTGGGAACTACTGGAAGGTCATCAAAGGACTATGTGTACTTTTTCAATCCATAGGAAAGTTGCATGGAACAGTACTTTTCTTGCCAGAACAAACACTTAGCAAGGATCAGCAAATATGCAGTACATTGAAGTGCTGTCTGATCACTAAAATGACAGCAGAAACATTTGTTGTGTCTCCACTGCTGACTCTGAAGATTTCTACCACTTTCATTTTTTGTTCTATGCTTGAACCCATGTTTGTTCATTTACTTAGAAAATTTCATTAAAAAAACTCCCAAGAGTTATCCCACAATATAACCTGTAATAAAGGAAACAGATTGATTCGAAAAGACTCATGTTACACAATTTTGAAATGAGGTACATTTTTTGGCTGTCCTGGTATATACCTACTTTTCTTATAAGGAATGGATGGGCTATCACAACATCTTGATCTGATTCTTCTGCAAGTCTATCAAAGATGGACAAAAAAAACAATTGCTTATATTGAGCAATGAATACAGCTTCAATATACTGCATATTTGCTGATCCTTCTTGCTAAGGGATTGTTTTGGCAAGAAAAGTAATGTTCCATTTAGCCTTCCTTGGGACTGAAAGAAGAAACCTTTTCTTGGAGGACTCAATCCCCTAAAAATGACCCTAAAGGAAGATATTTTCAACATTCTCTCTAGAACCTTTTTTTTTAGAACATTAAAAAAAAGTAAGACCATTCACTCACAAATAGTAGTCATGCTTTGAGGTGCTTTAAATTCATTCAATTCTCAGGACAAGGATCAACTAATCATATCTTCTTTTTTTTCATTGTGAACTGGTTTTTCATTCCATCATCAATGCACTATAAATGTTTTATGATAAACTAAGTGAGATACAGACAAAAGTTTCCGAAAATTTATTTGAAGTTTTCCAATTTTTCCTATTCCTGACTGTATGCATGCAAAATTTGATTGAAATGATGATTGACAGTTTGTTTACCAGTCATGTTAATTTCATCATGTTATATTTCAATTTACACGCGTTTGCAAACTCCCCATTTTGTCCATCAACCCTTCTTGTGCAGACACAATGTGATAACAAAATATTGACTGCAGCTCAATGGGGTACCATATTTTATTGCTGTAAGTGAAGTGTGGTGACAAATACTATACAAAACACCAGTTACTGACCCATGTATTGTAGTAAGAATAGAAGTAAGTAAATGGCACAAACCGAAAGATGAGTGGTTGTCCTCCTGCACTGTGGCAACTGCAAAACACAGCTTCAGCTGCATGCACTGGGGCTTCTTTTCATGGCAGGGTGTGGGACCCATTGTTCCAATACATGGGTCAGTAACTGGTGTTTTATACAGTATTTGTCACCATGCTTAGAGCAATAAAATATGGTACCCTGTTGAGCTGCAGTCAATTTTTTATGCTTTCCCATTTGTGTCTGCACAAGAAGGGTTGGTGGACAAAATGGACAGTTTGCAAATGCATGTAAATTGAAATAAAATGTGATTAAATTTATGCGATGGGTACACAAACTGTCAACCATCATTCCTATATAAATTTTTGCATATACAATCACAGGAACAGGAAAAATTGGACTTCAAAAATTTTTTTGGAAACTTTTGTCAACCCTCTGTAGAAATAGCTATACATGAGGCTTGACATGTGTGTTAATGTAAAAGTTCCAGACCCTTGAATCTTCCCCTTTGGTCCTTTTCAATTAAATAGATCTGTTAGAAATGACCAAAGTTATATAAACCTGAAATGGGGTACATTTTTCTGGCTAACCCTGTACTTATAATGGTGATAATGGCACACACAGGAAAGTTCTAAAATCAAGAGATGGACACAAATGCTGTTGTGATGCAACTGACTAGTTCAGATATATTACACCTTTCCTAAATAAAAAAAATCAGTGGTGGAGAGGTAGTGAATCCACTCAATCTCAGGGAGAGCACTGAGTTTTTTTTCTTGGAATGGTGCATTATTGCAGCAGCACCTTCAATCATGGATGTGTGAAATGGATTTCTACAGGCCTGACTTCAGTGGACTGTCAGTGCAGTGAAGGTGTCTACCAGCTAGCCTTTGGTTGATAGCTACTAGATGTTACCTATTATACAATTTAAAATTCCCTATGGTGACAACTTCAAGATCTTATCCTCATCTGCATAATTTCCTTGTAATTTATGGAAGCATCCTCATTTTGAAATCAAGCATGTTGACACATCAAGTACTGTTTTGGCTGCCACAAAAGGTGACAAGGCTGACAATGCAAATGCTTGGGATCCTACCATGACTTCCTCCTTCCAACAAATGCATGTCCTGTATAATTTAGATAATGAATAACATTCAGTTATGTAAGAATACTTATGATGGAAGCAGCAGAGTGAAGTGTGCATAATTCTACATGTCTTTCCATTGGAAGCACCATTAGAGCTGACAGTGGAGAGGTGAGAATGCTGATAATGGTATGAAAATTGCTCTGACAAAAACGAAGTCTCAGGATTGCTTCAACAATATACAGGGTGTCCCAGAAAACCCTCTGCATGTTTAATTGCATAGAACACAAAAGGTACAGAAAAAACATTGAAGAAAAATACCTGTATACTGTTTTGAAGGTTCCCTTCTTAACCTAAAATTATACCACAGATATGTGTGGGCATTGATGCTTCAGTATGGCATCCATTTCAAATTACCCCCTTCAGCATTGGAGCACATCTGACAGGAAAATTGATCCATTGCTTTTGTCACCATGGTTGGAGGAATACGGCTGTCATGAGATCTGGGACATTACAGGGTTTGGTGACATGAACCATCTCCTTCGGTGACCCCCACAACCAAGGACCACAAACTGTCATTTTGGGCGACCTTGCTGGCCATTCACAGGGCCTTCTGCCACCAATCCACTGTTTGATGAAGTGTTCCTTCAGAATGTGAGCCTCAAGAGAGTAATGTGATGAGGCACCATCCTGCTGGAAAAGATGGTGCTGATATTGTAGGGAAGTCATGATAGGTTTCTTGTGGATTGGTTGTAGAGGACCCTGTGAGTGGCCAGCAAGGTTGCTCAATGACAGTTGGTGATCTTTGGTCTTGGGGGGTATCAGGAGTTGGTTTATATCACCAAACCCTGTAATGTCCTAAATCTAGGCTAGGTGCTTGACAGTAGAAAACTTTTCTTGTCTGGAGTATCTATTAATGGCAACATGACAGCAGTGCAGGAGCTCACTGTGTTGTAAAGAGGCATGGTAATTTGGTGCCATTTGGTGAGGAAATATGGTTGAGCTCCAACAATACTTCTGAGTTGCCCAACAGTAAGGTGTTTATTGTCAAAGCATGAAGGAAGACATGCTTGAAACCTTGACCTGGGTGGGTTCACGGGCTCTCTACCATGGAGAGTCCAACAAAAGAAAGTTGATTCTTACCTGGGAAGAAATGGCTACGCTTGTTGGGTTGGCCTTCACTTTTGGAAAGGAAATGCACAGTCCCCTCAACTTGACTGTCATCTTTCATGGCATGGTTATACATTACACTTCACCTTTCCAGTCAAGTAATGTTTAACAATGCCCTATGGCAGGGGGTGCCCAAAGTGTGGCCCATGGGGTGCATCCAGCACACAAAGTGCCTTAGAGAACATCCACTTTGGGCACCCTTGCCCTGGGGTAATGAGACTGTTTGTTATTCACCAAGCTTATGGGAGCTAAACTAGTCAACAGGCAGGAGAATCAGTTTGGAAATGCTCATCAAATTTCCACCTGGTGGTTACCAACTAGTGATGAAATTCACATGCCAACATGTGAATTTCACATCACCTTGAACTTTCACTCTTCTTTTAGCAGCTTCCTCTTGTTCCATAAACCACATTAGATGAAAAGCTAAGATTTTCTCAACCCTTTAACTTGTGAAAGAATTCAAAACATCCTCTGTAAATGTCAAACATGTCTTGCATCCATTTCAGATGAAGGCATGAGATGAGGCAGAGCCTCAAATTTTCATTGCAGAGCTTAAGATTTCCATCACTTTTATTCAACTTCAATACTATAAATAACCTCCATTGTGGTGGTCATCATGACATCATGTGGCAGATAAGTTCTCTCATAAAAGTCAAGAAAAATCACGGAAATCAGAATTTTCTTCCTTATTCATCAATTCATCATGATACAGAACTGAACAGGGGGAAATATTTCGCGCAATCGGATAAAATCACACTCGAGCACAGTGGATGAAGGATAGAGAGATAGAGGATCTATCACCAAACACCCTGTATGCTAGAGGAAAGAGATTTTGGGTCGGCACAACAGTAGCTGACATCACACAGCTAAGCGCACATGGACAACAATGAAGATGCACTGGTCTTCCTCTGTAAAGACAAATCCATACAGGTTAGAGATTATCTTTATGCAAAATCCACTTCTTGTTTGTGTGATCAAAGGCATGGTTGAGCCACTGGCTCTGAAGGAGCTTGTAGCGGTCTTCACTCAAATACAGAGGCCGTCCCCTCCTGTGAAAGAAGAAAAATTGGGAAACATTAGTAGAACCAATAGTGAGTGACTTTATGAGATCAAAGGATGTTGTCCCTACTTGAGGTCTCGGTCTTCCTCTCCATAGCTGTCAAGGAAGACACTGCCCCACAGGCATGCCTTTCTTCCACGAATCACAATAATTGAGGAGGAATTCACAGCCAGATATATTCCTGTACCAGCCCCACAGTCCACTGCATGCTAGAATTAATAAGAAAAAAAAACTTCACACTACACACATTTTGGAAAATTATTCCTTATGTCTTTCTCATAAATCACCAGCATTCATATTCACTTATTTTTCTTATGAACTTAATTGACATGTCTCACAGAACCTGCCATACTACCAAAATAGGCATACCCTCAATGGAACATGACTGAATGGGAGCAAGAATTTGCATGCATTCCTCCTTGCTCAAATGGAAAGGTTTCTCCTTGGTTAGTTATATCCATTATTTCTTTGTTGCACCTTCATAATAGCATAAGAAGAGGAGAATAAGGGTGGATTTTTGAACAGAGCATTATCCGATAATGCAGCTTTATTTCAGAGAAAATGCATTATAAATCCGGTAAATAAAGCAGCATTATCAGACAGTTCTCAATAAATACAATGTATTTTCCCTGAAATGAAGCTGCATTATCAGATAGTTCTCTGTTCAAAAATCCACCTTAAGAATAACTTCCTTAGGAGGGCATACTCTCTCCCTAAGAAAATATGACTATGACTGTTAAGAAACAAAAGTGGCTGTCCCTCTGTGCATGACATGGAAACCTCCAGTGATACTTGTGATCTGTATATTATTAATACTACTGACCATGATAATCCAAGCAGTTCTTAGTAAGGGCAACTCTGCATCTGATTTAATGCAAAATTTCATGCACTTGTCTTTTCTGAGAAGTTATGTATATAGTACAGCCCTCAGAAAGTATGGGAAAGACTTCAGCTAAATCCTTTTTCCAGCTTGTGTACAATTCACAGTCACAATGCCTTAAGCATTGGGATAAAAAGCAAATTTTATTAGTTTATAATGCTCCCACCCATAAATTCATTCTTGAGGCACTTTTCCTGAATCTGAAGATCCACTTAGGCATTGTACACTCATTGGTAACCATTGGAACCAATTGGTTGTATAATTACAAGAGGTATTGTCAGGAAAACAAGCATGCAAAAAATAATTTGTGATTAAAATGGCAAAGAGACCATACTTTAATCAGCCTTCAGAAAGCAGTTAAGAAAAGAAAAGGAGGTAAAGTTACCATACTTTATGGTGTTTAAAAGTGACAATATTTAGTATGAAAGTATTTCAAATTTAAATACCTCAAAAACTTCAAATAAGCAGAATATTACTTTATTCCACTTCTGTCTTCAAGATTTTCTTAATTATACAAATAAACTTCTAAAACTAAAAGTTTTGTTCATGATGTGTTCAGAGGTGACAATGCCAAAGTGAATATTTTCCCATTTAATGACATATTATCTCATCCTATTTCCCATATCCAAGACTGGTTAGATCATTCTTCCTCCATTTCTTTTTAATGAGGAAAATTAGAAGGAAAATGTTCTTATGCATCAAAGCTAAGGGTCCTTCCAGAGGTAAAAGATGAATTCAGAAAAGAATATATAGTAATCCCTGCAGGTATGATAGCATAATTAACTTATGGTGTTTGAGAAGAATTATCATGGCAGATGTGATATGTTACATTTACACAATTACAAAATTAAAATTTTGTAACATTCTCTCACTAGATCAAGTACTTTGACTTCATTTATGTACTTAAATAAACCTAAAGAAAGGGGATGAATAAAATATGTAAGTTTTGCTCACCTCCTGCTGTTTTAGAGACATAAGAAATTCATGACTATGAAATTAAAATGTTACTTTCAAACATCTTGTGCAATGGATATTAGAAGCAACCTGAATGATGATAAACTGTAGTGAATTCATAAAAATTTGCAATCAGAAATTGCTTCCTGGGTTTCTATTGCCCGACCTGCTTGGCATATCCAATATGAAACATCCTAGCTACTTTTCTCATATTTGCTGAACTTCTGCTCTAGTGGCATTGTACATTCATTTCTGCTATGATGAAAAAGACTGCAACTTAAGCTTGCAAATGAAAGGATGGATGAGGGACAGACCCGCACGGCTTCACAGACCCCAGTCTGCTTGCAGCAGTTTTCCTTTAGGCAGACCATGGTTCCACACACCAAGCACACTGTTGGCTCTTTGGGTATTGAATTGCACTGGGAACATGGACGGCGGTGGAAAAACTGCAGGGGATCAAAGGACATTTTCAAGAACTCCCATCAGTAAGAAGTTTAAGTGGAGGCACTCTCTATGTACCTGACACATGGATCAGATTCTTTCATGAGAAAAAGCAGAATGTGAAGGAGTTGGATTACATGACTTACTTGAAAGATGTTATCATAGGAGAGTGGGAGGGTAAGGAGCCTGGGTTGTTTCCAGTCCAGATGTAGTCGTGCAAGAAGACGATGAGCAGCAAATTGGCTCCGCTGACCAAATGAGGCCAAATCTGCACACCATGTGTTGAGGACATCTGCCATTGGCTTAACAGCCCAGTGCAAAGCATCCACTGCTCCACATCCTTGTTTCTTCCAATCACTTCGCATCAGCTCCAGATACACACATATTGTTCCAAATTCATCTGATGCTTCTTCAATATTCGGCAATGGTTCATCATAGACATGGGTCCTCAATAATGCTGCCATTCGGAGATATGGCAAGCATTTAGCCTGAACCACTTCCTCTAAGTTCTCAACTGAGAGGTCAAGTTTCTTGTCTCCTGCATCATCAGTATATAGCTGAGAAGATTCAAGGTTTTTGATGCAAGATCCAAGCAAAGATTTCAGATCTTCTGAACCAGTCTCAGACTTGAGCACCTCTCGCTGCTCTACAGAAGTAGACAGTGACAGCTGACAAAGAACTTGGAAGAAGACCACATTGAAGAAGTTCTGCACCAGGCAGTTGAAGTAAGCTGAAAGAGAGAAGGACCAAAGTCAGAATCCAATTCATTGTCCATGTTCATATTTAATTAGAAATATACTGATGCACCACAATGATTAGTTATAGCTTCTAATAAAGCATCATCTGAATCCATGACAGCTTTCCATCTTGCCAATAATTTCCCCAACCCAAAATGGAGGAAAAAGGATCAATCTGGTTTCATGTGAACATAGTCTGGTGTCATAGCACCAAATCCCCCTCCCTTCTCTCTAAGTCTGTTTTTCCAGACTCCAGAGATAAAAAAGTATATTCTCTGCCTACAAATATGTTTGCTTCAGTCATTTTGTGGCTATAAACTACATTTTCCACACTTGGCAATGGATCATGGGTCTGAGATAATTATCAGCTCAGTCCATTGCTTGAATCCTAGCATTGGTACATTTTAAATTTAGGTTGAGGGATGTAAAAAGAGACTGAATTTTCTTTCATACCAATGTCAACATGAAGCGGAAGCATGAGAAGAATCTGCAGGAGGAGAGAAGTGATGTCACGAATGAGAAGAGGGACATCCTTGTCAAAGATGGATATGCTTTTTGCTTTATCTTCTCCTTCAACACTCAGGCCCATGACCTGAGAGAGGAGCTGTGTGTAGAACTCCGTGCTCAGGAACTTCATGTGCATTGACAGCACATAGAGGAGAGGAACTGTAAAGTGAGAAAAAAACTATAACTGTCATTCAAACTCTTTTTCCTCACACTTTATATTTGCATGCAAAACATGGCTAGCAAAATAAACTATTACATTTACCACCCCTACAGCTGGAGTATCAATACTCAACAAATGAGTGATGTGATGTGATGTAAAACCACCTATAAAAAACAGTGACATTAACCCTTATAACTTGAAAACAAAATTAGAAATACTCACAGTATGATATTTTAACAATTTTGAACTGCTAAATGTTAAAATATCTAATTCACCAGAAACTCAGTCATTAATTACAAGAAAACTAACTAGAAAACTGAGTTGGAAAGTTGTCTAGAAATACAGGCATTCACTGAGACTCACCAATGCAGCTCCTTCGTGGAAGCCTTGCCTTCTCAGCTAGCACCAGAGTCCCACCTCGTTGCACCAGATCCATTTCTAAATTTGTCCTTGCAATTGAGCTGACAAAGAGGAAGAGGGATTGTGGGGTGGGTGTAGCACAATAACATCGATATCGAGGAAGAGTGGCGTTGGTTAAATTCTCCATCATCCCATTCATGGCAGTCAAGAGGGGTGAATGTCTTGAAGGAGGTAGGGGCTGTTGGCTCAAGAACTCAACAAGTTCACGTGCTACAGAAGCTGCATTGTCCCCAGGCCTTGCTTTCACTAGGGCCGTCTGCTCTCCAATGGATGGGCAGAGTGGAAGAACAGCATTAGCCAGCTGGCGACAGAGTGGACAAGCGTATTCTCCATGTGTCACATCCAAACTCTGCTGTCGACTCTGTGTCCGCAGGGACTCAAGGTATGCCTTATGACAGTCCAAGTGAAGATGGTGACTACAGGTCTGGACGTGGATCCCACCCTGCCAACCGATGTTCAATGACAAAAGCCAGTAGTGCTGAAATAAAAAATCAGCTCATTAGTACCCAATAATGAGGAGTTTGGCATAAATCAGTCTTTCCTGAGCCTCCCTTCAAGGGACAATCATACATGATATAAACAACATACAGGGTGCGCGCGAGCTATTTGAGAACAAAATTTGACTTTGAGGAAAACTAAAATATTCAGTAGAAAAACCAATATATTTTCATAGAATTTTGTACACATGTTCTTACATACACATAACAAAAGGCTATTCAATAAAACCGCCTTCAACCTTGATTACGGCCTCGATGCAGCTTCTGAAACGACTACATGCGTTGATCAGGTGATTCTTATTTATGTTTGCCATAATGTCCCCGATGGCAGCCTTCAACGAGTCCTTGGTATTATGGGCATGCTTGTTGGTCTCCCTCTCAACGACGCCCCAGATGTAGTAGTCCAGGGGGTTTAAATCAGGAGAGCTAGGAGGCCAACTGTTAGGGGTAACATGATCGTGAAAAATTTCGGCCAGCCACTCCTGGGTCGTGCTGGCTGTGTGAGAGGGAGCATAGTCTTGCTGGAACACGTACGGCCTCCCCCGAGACACTCCCTCAATCCAGGGCTTGACAGTGTCTCGGCTCGGGGGGAGGCCGTACGTGTTCCAGCAAGACTCTGCTCCCTCTCACACAGCCAGCACGACCCAGGAGTGGCTGGCCGAAATTTTTCACGATCATGTTACCCCTAACAGTTGGCCTCCTAGCTCTCCTGATTTAAACCCCCTGGACTACTACGTCTGGGGCGTCGTTGAGAGGGAGACCAACAAGCATGCCCATAATACCAAGGACTCATTGAAGGCTGCCATCGGGGACATTATGGCAAACATAAATAAGAATCACCTGATCAACGCATGTATTCGTTTCAGAAGCCGCATCGAGACCATAATCGAGGTTGAAGGCGGTTTTATTGAATAGCCTTTTGTTATGTGTATGTAAGAACATGTGTACAAAATTCTATGAAAATATATTGGTTTTTCTACTGAATATTTTAGTTTTCCTCAAAGTCAAATTTTGTTCTCAAATAGCTCGCGCACCCTGTATGTATTTGGGATGTGAGGAGGAAAGTGGAGTATAAATAGTACAAAAAGTATGCCCCAAGACAAGAGAGTGCAGGTGGGAACAGATAAGGTGAAGTTGGGGTGAGGGGAGGGCAATCATCCCCAGCCAGTTGTGAAGTTCTATTGAGAGTTTGCAAATTCCAAAATTATTTTAGGCCTATAATAAATTTGCTGTAGGATGAAATGGTTTCAAAATCAAATACTGCAGAATTCTAGTTTATCACACATGTGAGTTGTGATTAAAATTTGAAGTTTGAAGCATTAGTATCAAAGTATATGTTGACTAAAGTTTTGCAGTAAGACAGATCTAGTTTATTGTGCAAGAAACATAGGGTAAGACCATCTAAGTTCAGACAGTACATATGATCAGACTCATAATGTACATCTATAAATAATGAGAATTTGCAAGATCACCCTGAGAATGAGTTCTTCCTGGTACAAGAGGAACATGTTACTGAGCAAAAGACATGTATGTAATGGGCATCATCATTTTGTACAATTCTGAAATATTGTGCAAAAAAAGTAAATGCTATATTGCAGACAGAAGAAGTTCAAGAAAATGTATGAAAACAACCTTACATGTGATATTCTCTAGGCTCTTCACATGTGGTTTTTTATTTCTATGCTCAATTCTTATTCCACAGGAAACAAGGGAAACAAAGTATTGCAGCAGAGAAAGCACATGCTATGTACAGATTTCCACCTCACTTCCCAGAGTGTCAAGACTATGTTGGGTTCAAGCTTGATTTTTTCCAATTAAGTTCAGACACCCACATAATAGACACTATTGGAAACAATAAGACTTTCAAGCTTCCAACATCTTTAAAATGCTCAAGCATAATCATGTGCTCCAAGTCACCAAAAATGAAGCATCCAGCTTGTACCAACTAGGCGTAACAAATGAACTAGGCTCATCCAGTTTAACTGTTTCATTGATGACAACCATAATTTCTATTTCAAAGAAAGGAGGCTCATTCAGACTTAGAAACAATATGATTTTGGTGAAAAGCTTTGTGCATTACCTCGCTGAACTGCCTCTTGAGCTCTTCAATTCGATTTTCCATTTCCTGGTCAAAGTGGTCATCTCCAGAAGTAAGCTTGATAAGTCTCATGTAGCTTGCCTGGTTGGTTGGAAGCACTAGGCCCTCTGTGTCCAGATACCGATTTCCCAGAACACTTGAGGGCTGTAACAGGAAGAATCACATTTAAGCCATTCTTTCAAGGACAAAGTGAAGTGAAATTCAAGAAATGCAAAAATTGACACCAGGAGGATGTAGCTCACATGCATGGAACTTGAAATCAGTAGGTATAGTTCATTTTAAAAAATAAAAAATACTGAAGTAGCACATAAAAAATGAAATACATCAATGTATTTCAGCTGCAAGTCAACTCATTAAGTCATTGAAATCAAATGCACAATGTAAAATATGCATTTTCACACTTGACAAAGCCTAATGGTGCATGGGTACTGAAGCAAATTTAGAACTGAATAACAGACCAGTGAATGAGAGCAAGATATTTCGATATTGAGAAGTAGCTGATTCATTACTTGGCCTTCTCAATACCTGTGGTACATAAAAGAAGATTCACTGAGTCAATAAATGTCCCTTGAACAGACTTAGTGGGTCTCCTTTTCTATATGGTTTCTTCTGGTCCTGCCCCAATTGTTTCATCTTCCTTTTCCATTCTGTGTGCATAGATGACTGTGCTAACCTTGCTATGATGCATACCCAACATCACAAAGAGTATAGCCCAATGAAATTTGCATAATTTTAAAATGGTTACACTCAGCATAGGCCATAAGAAAGTTCTTGCAGCTATTCAATAGATTTAAAAAAGGGCAGATTCCAGATGATTTATCTGTAACTTTTATCAATCTTTCAGACAAATTCGGACTAATATTTCAAAGTTCCTCACACATCACTGTACAACGTCATAAGTTAGGGGTATACACCCCTGGAATGAGTACAATACCTGCAAAAGAACAACCAAGCCAACAGGCCTATCCTCAGTGCTTGGAGTGGTCTGTCCACATATAACACAGTCGTATTCTTTGTCTTTGAAGGACAGTTCTGGCCTGGAACTTGCTGGCTTTCCCTCTGTCTCCATTGGTTCTGCATGAAACAGAATTCACTCATATCATCTGCACCCACAAAATAATGTGAGGAAAAAGCTGACAGATTCTCTCAGTTCTTACCATGTGCCTCCTTGGCTTTCTCCATGAACTGCCTCTGTCTGGAGGCAAACTCAGCTATGAGTCGCTGCTGTCGCTCCTTCGCCTTCCTCCTCTTCTCTTCCCCCCGACTCTTTTCAGCATCTTTATCTTCGTGTTGAGGCCAGAGTCGTTGCCGCTCTGCCTTGATGTACTCCTTGTTGTGGTGATCCAGTTGAGCAATCTTGTCAAGGAGATTCTTGACAAAGAAAGGACCATCACCAAAGCGGGTCACCTCTTCCAAATCACTCATCACATAGGAGTCTGGTTTCCCACTCAGCTTCGCATGAAGCTTCAGAAGGAGGCTGATGATGCTCTCATTCACTTCAACTGTCCAAATGGGGTCATTACAACTGCTACTGACCAATGTCCGAGAATCAGCACTGACCAGTGCAGTCTGAGAGTCAGCACTGACCAGTGCACGGGAGTCTGATTCCTGCATTTGGAGAAAGACTTGTGTCACAAAACTCTTATGATAGTAAAAAAAAAACCTTATGATAGTCATGAAACTCTGAGCATATACAACTAGAACATGATCAAAGGGACTAACTAAAGAGGATTCATCCAGGGGATGGAATCTTATGGGTCGAAGGAAGCGTTTCACCTTGGAGACAACACGACCGTGTCGCCTAAAACTCTCCGACACCAGCTGAGTCATTTCTCTAGCACCTGTAACAGCAATGCACAAGATAGAGCAACTTTCGAGATTAGACCAGCTAGATGCATCAAAAACTTCTGCTTAAACACCACAGACAAATTCCATGCAACTGCTCAGTTAGTAGTATGTCCTATATACTGGGTGAGATTAAAAAAACGTGCCACTCTTTGAGATTCATTGGAGTTTGTGAGATAGAAGATACCAAGGCAAATTTTTTTTTTGCAAGTACTTCTACATATCCTAAAAACATCCTAAAATTGTTGCTTGTTTTTCTCCAGCCATTTTAGCCCAGGAGCAAAAACGCAAAGGCAACTTAAACTTTATTTTTGTGCAAGGAAACATATCAGTGGAAGAGTAGTTGGTAAGCATGGAGTACACAAATCTTGGGCCAGAGCTCCTCCATCTCTCCATGAAAATGCTGCTCTTGGCAAAAGAATGGGATGGGCAGAATTTTGCAAGAATTTTAAGGTAAAGGATGAAAGAAATGTAGGCCTACTTCTAAGAGGTTGATCCACAAGCTACGAGGAACCAGTTTATCTGAGAGGAAGCGAAGCAGCGAAAGACTAAAAATTAGCCAGAACTGAAGGAAACTGCATTCATGTGGAAGAAGTCATTGTTTCTCAAGATGATAATACTGGGATGCGAAATTATTATATGCAAATTGCCAAACATAAGGACAAGTCAGAGTTTGGCAAGTTCTGAAGTGCAGAGGAGAAAATCCTGAGAATGAATGTCATTCCAAGCAGGTGGGACAGGTCCTCCTGTAAGCATCCAGGTGCAAGTGCAAAAATAAATTCCAGTTGCTTCTGTAAAGCCACTCTAGTGTCAAAACAGTTGGAGATAAGCCAACAATTTTTGAATGCTCAAAGGATGCATAGGGGTGTGTAGGAAAGGAATTTCATAATTCTAGCTGCTGTTTCAGAGGTGCTGCAAAATTTCAAAGAATTGCGCGTTTTTTTGTCTCACCCAGTATGTGATTGGCTCAACAAGTCATTATGCAAAAACAGTGAAGAAACTCTCAACTGTCAGATTTTTAAGCCCTTAGCACATACCAGATCCACTGGGTAGTTCTGAAGGGGCATCCAGTGGAGATTCAACTATCACAGAAGGTGAAGTGGTTGGTGGAGGGAGTTGATGTCCTCCAAGCATTGTGTGTTGATCGGGGTTTACTTGGGACAGAGAAATCTGGCTTCGGAGGATGCCAGGGTGAGAGGAGGAAGTTGAAGGGGAAGAACTAGCACCAGATGATGCTGTTGAGGACAATGAGGATGGTGCTGCGGATGCAGAAGCAGAAGAGGAGAAAGTGGATGGGGGGAGTGGGAGTGGAACCCGGCAAGGAGCAATGGATCCAAAACGGGCATGAGTGATAGGCATTGTAGTTGAACTGCTCCCAGAAGAGAAGAACATCAGGGGATCCTCACTGTCCGAATCCTCATCTTCGTTCAACCCATCAGTATCCATGTCATCTAAGAAAACAAAATGGAAGCAATTGTCAAAGAACTCACATGAATGGACAACAACATAAAACATGGTCTACTTGGCAACTTTACTATACTTGATGTGTCCAGTATGATATCAGGCCAAGTTGAACCATACCTTCACATTGCCTGTTCTCTATTAAGTTTGAAATTCAATGCAGCATTGTTAAACATCAGTGGACCTCCACCCTAAACTATAGCTGATGACCATAAATGTAGTCATATAAAATATCCTGGGAAATGAAAAATATTTGAAACTTGTTTACTTCTCTTGAGAACAGATAAGAAACCAAAGAGGGAATAGAAATATGAATTCCAGCACAAAAAATGAAACTGACCATCAGAAGAAGCAGATTCATGACTGGAGAGGTAGACACAGTCAACAACCTGCCTTAGATTGGCTGCCAAGTTATCAGTTGGGAACCATGCAGAAAACATCTGGTCCACAACTGTGATTGGGAGCATTTGGCTTGGGTCAGAGTGACAGATCTCCTGCAAAATATATACATAAAAGGTTATTTGGCTTCTTTTTCTCATCTGAATAAAACAAGGAACCATGTCAACCTTTAAAAATATTTCAAAACTGACCATGGCTCCAGTCTGATTCACTGGTTTTGAGAAGGTCACTGCCAACTCCAGAAGATACACCGTAAGAGAGATGACATGGTCTGAGACATTTGGGTCCTTCAGTGCCTTGTAGAGGATGACAAATGCAGCAGCCTGAAATGTCTTTGATTGGAGGATGCGAATTGGATTTTTGTAGGCATCAAATGTTGGACCAGGGATTCTATAAGGAGGCCAGGGGTTTTGGCATGCCTTCAATTTTCCTGTCTGCTGTACACTGGAAAATAATTCAAGCAAAACAGACAAGTTAACTTTGAATATTTTTAGCAAAATAAGCATTTACACTTTCAATCAGGACAACAATTAACATAATGCTACATTGATCATTCTTCTTGGAGGAAGGGTGGCCTAGCAGAATCTTGCTCTAAAATACTTATCCAATACAAAGCTAAGTAATACAAACACTTACTGGGCAGCATATCGATCCAGAGAGCTTTGGAAGTCTCGTCGGTGAACAGCTCGGAGGAGGACATACAATGGGTCAAAGAGGACTTCCCAGGTTGACCCCTTAGGAACATACATCCCTTGTTGCATCGTCCCACTGGTCTCAAAATTTGGGGCACGATAATCAGCCACCTGTGACAGGAGAGTTTCAAAGTCCCGATTGTGTGACACAGAGTTGCATTTGTCAGGCATGAGGTCCAGCAGTTGACTATGGGTCTTGTCATTCATGCAAAGGAGAGTCACCATCTCCAAACGGGCAAGGTCACTCTCTGACAGGCCTATACAGGGAATAAAACATGGCATAAGCATGGAATGCATCATGATGTAGGACATCTCAGGAATAACAGATATAAACTCAAAACAGACCAATATTTGTCCTGACAGTAGTGAGGGTGGCAAGGAATACAAGGCAGCTCTCTAGCATTGGAATCTCATGATCTGGGTGCAAAAATCGTTCTTCTGATGATGAGGAAAAAGTCAGCCACTCTGTGACATGGAAGCTGTTGAGAAGTAGACATGTTAGCATAAAATAAATTTTGACTGAGACTTTGGGAAGGAGCACCGAGAGAAGGGCTGACCGATCAAGGACCATGGAGACGAAGCGATCTGGGTCCAGGTGCATGGCTCCCACTTGGAGTAGGTAGATGTCAGCATCCACAAGAGAATTGCAGAATTGGCACTGGATGTAACTCATGGCCTGGCCTTTAATTTGAAGTCCATTCCTCACCCACATCCCACAGAGAATCTCATAGAATGCCACCTGTTCAAGTCAGAAAAAAGGGGTTAAAAAAAAAGCCTTTTCATGAAAAAGAGAGCATGCTGGACAGGTCAAATAGCTATACCTCAGCCAACCAACATAAAAGCAAAAAAATTAAGCTGACCTGCAGCCATCAGATTTTAAAACTTAAAAAAAAAAAAACAGGAGAAAAAAAACATATACGCAATGGTACTGGTACTTTTTTCATGGTACTGGTAGTTGGGATGAAGCAAAATCTGAACTTTTTTTAGTTTATAGTTTTTAGACCTTGCACAGTCATATCATGTTGAATATAAGACTGCTACAACAAAAGAACCTGAAATAATAGATCAGGGTAAAAAACTTTCTGCCAATTTGGCTAATTGGCAGCAAGGCACATAAAACTTTCTGAAACATTGCAAATAAGTTTCTCAGATTTTCTGAGAATTCAGTTCCCCACAGTGATTGCATGTTTAGAAAGGAATACAGGTATACTGTTTGTGGATCCATCTAAGTTAAATGTTGACTGCATCAAAGAAAAAAAAAAAGATGAATACCCTAAAAATAACCCACAAGAGGGAAAAGCATAAAAAGTTTTATTTGTCAGGTAATTGTCACTTGTAACAGGTAATTTAGACATATTGCATGTAAATGAAAATAATATTTTCCCAGATAGGAGGTCTAACCTACAGGGTGATTATTGAAGCCATGCAGAAGTCTAACCCCTTAACTGGGGTTTCACCAAATTTTCATCAAATACATTTTAACCTATGGGAAGTTAGACATCAAAAGAAGTCTAACCCAGTTAAGGGGCTAATCATATACTTCCTTCTCTGACTGTTCTAGCTACAAGAGAAAATTCAAAAGTTCCTGCTCTGAGATATAAGGAAATGTATTTGACTAATGAAACAAAATTTATCTTTCAACATTCCTGGACATCAACACTTTCACCATAGATGGGACAGGGCTCCACTCTCACTGGGAAAAAATTTCCATTCCCTAGTTGTTGAAAAATGCTTGGACAGCTTCACTGAATTCATTTTCACCTTTGTGACTGATGTTTGCATTAAATTGTACAGCATTGAATGAGCTATTTTACTATGATAAATACTTTCATTTTTCAATCATTTTATTATGATAAATACTTTTAATTTGCTACCATTTTATGGTAGCAAATTAAAAGTTTATTAACAATATAAATTGCATCACTGCTCTGTATTCAATTTTTACATTTTGGAATGAAATAATTTTTGGCTGGAACATATTTCAAACAACAATCATGTAAATAAAAATAAATGCAGTTAAAACTAATTGTTGACACTTGAAATAACCAAACCGAGTGAAGTAATATGGGAACCAACATTTAGCTTTCTTCAATCAATTCTATTATCTCAGGGCAGACATTTTTGGATCATCCTCTGCACTTTCATACCTCAACTTATTTTAGATGCTACCATGCTATCTCATGACAATACTTTTTTTTTTTTATGTTTGCATGTGGATTGGCATGGACACACATAAACATGAACTATGTCTAATAAGCTAATAAGCAGCTAAACCCTTTAGCAGAGCGAAGTGACTAGGTAGTCAAATTCATTTATGGAACATTCCTGTTGGCATTTCCACACTGCTCCGTGCCCTCTGTCACACCCTTTTCAAGGACATTGGGAGATGAAGACTACTCCAGTCTAATCCCAAGAGGCTGTTTATGTAGTGCCCAGATGTATGGGTGAACTATTGGCCAAGAAGAAAGCCATTCAGTTCAGATTTAAACTTGGACCTCCTGTGTGCTAATATGAGATCCAAAGACAGAGAACTTACTTTTGATTCTCTCATATCTAATAACAACAAAAAAAACTACTAAGAAGAACCAGAAGCTGTATAGCAGCTTGCTCTCATGATGACAAGAAAATAATACTTGAGCCCCAGCTTATTATATCCTTTGGTCCCCCCCCCCCCCCTCCATGTCAGAGTAGGGATAAGGTATAAGCTCCTTTCTCGACATAATTATTGAGTTCAATTGTTCACCTGAACACGGAGTGGATGAATCATGAGTAGCTCCAGAAGATCAATAGAGGGCATCACTTCACTCAGGGAAGCTCCTTGACACTTCACAGCCTGACTCATGAACAATGCATAGTAACGATGCAGTGGCAAGTGGAAAGATACTTGGTATGGATCCCACTGTGAAAAAAAAGCAGAGAGAAGTGATTTATGGGAGAATAAAAGGAAAATTTTTTAGTGAACCTGACAGTTTCAGACTCACCAGATCACCCAATGTGACTCCAATGGCATCAAACCAGTTGCTCAATGCAGTAGTACAGTGCTTGAGAACATTCTTGGTTAAAGGGAGAAGATCAGGATCTGTGAGATGATTCACTAATGCCCACATAGGGGAAGAGGAAGCCTCATATTCTCCCGAGAAGGCAGCATAATAAGACTGTGGCTCAAATTCAATATGCTGAATCAATTCTCTCCGGTTCACGTTCATCCCTACACCAAGACAGATTTTTTAAGGCTTCCATTTTGAGACACACTTGTTGCATCTAGTACACTTTCACTTAACCAAATGTTTTTGGAATCACCATATAACAGCTGACAAGCATGTTTTTTGGAATCTCCACATGGTCAGAAGCCAGACATCACGTTTTTAGACAGAAGTCATGCAATAAGATTATTTTTAACCTTGGATAGCTATTGGTAATAACAGATATTCTCATGGCAGATAAACAAAAGTTGATGGAGGGATCAAAGCTCAACTATAATCTGTTAAGGTGATGGGTTTTCCATGGCCTAAAGTCAACATGGCTACCCTTGGGGCATGTGAGTGACTCAGTTGGTGATGAGCCAGACTTCAGTGGCATGGGACCTGGGTTCAAACCCAACCAAGCCAGGCATTTATTTCCAGTGCAACCCCCAATATGCTCAGGAAGGGAGACCCCTGAGCACTAAGTACATATCTCAGGATGTGGGACATTAAATAACCCTAAAAGTGAAGGCTGAACCTGGGTAGCTCATGTACATGTAGTAATGGCTCAGGCCAAATTGAGTATCCTGAGGTTAAGAATTACTTGTGCTAGCTGACATTATATGTGGGAAGGGTTAGCTGGTGTTCCATAGCTACAGGGTGTTCGAAAAGTCACTGTGCAGTAGAATTCACGACATGACATAGGAGGCCTCACTGTATGAATTATGGACAATAAATTATGTGAATCGGGGATGGTGCTAATATTTGATGAAGTATTGCATCATGTCTTTGATGATGCAACACATGTGATACAGAGTACAATACATACATACATGCAACAAAATTAATTAATTCTACTGCACAGTGACTTTTTGAACACTCTGTAGAATGCAGGTATGGGTCAAGTGCCTTTTGTGTCTGGAACCCAGTCATATCATGTTGTATCATATGAACTTGGATGAGAAACTTGCATTATTCAAAACCAACATACCTTGAAACATGACCAGGAATAGGAACCACATGTCTAGGAGCTGACTATCTGTCATAAACATCCTTGCTACAGGCCAGTGAGAGAGCAAATTGTTGAGATCTGACACCAGCGGCCAGTAACAGTGATCCTTCATCACATGATCACTGCAGTCCACTACATAATGGAAATTCTTGTCGTGATCTAGGAAAGAAAGTGTTCTCCATGTTATCAAAGGGGAACTGAAGGGCTTTGAAAGAAATTTGAATGATTTTGCTCCTACCATGAAGGGTGTTCTGAATGAGGATCTTGCTCATCATAGCATTGATGCTCACTACCATAATCTGAAGGAGGCCCATCTCTTCAGCCATGCGGTAGGCCAGGTCTTCATTGGAAAACAGCTGCACTGAGACATGCACAACTCGATTAGACAGGGCATCAGAGTCCATCGACTTGACTAGCAGCTGTGAGATGCGACTGTAGTGCAACACAAATGCTCGTGTGAATGCCTCCTGCAAAATCAATAAGATTCCATGATCAAGCATAAATGCACAGAGCTTGCTATGTAATGGAAATCAAGCAATGTTTTCAGAACTTCCCTAAGGTTGATATCATGGGCTTACCTTATAGTCAAGGTCAGGCAACATATTGAGCAAGAGACAGACAAGCTTCTGAGGAAATTCAAAGTTCACAGTCCAAAAGACCAGTTCCTCCAAGAAAGTTTTGTGGACTAGATTCTCCTGGAGACCTGGTGAATCAACTAATGGGGAGAAAGTAAGAAAATGCAGAATCAAGTCAGAGTCTCGTGAGACCAGAAGTAATTACATGCAATTAACATACCCTTGAACTCGGCAGGAGGCTCAACATGAGGAAGGCTGGCCAAAGCCTCCTGGTACAGTTTCTCCCCAGAACGAGTGCTGTCTTTCCGTGGTTCATTTCCTGTCAACTCTTGTGTTAAGCACCGATAAATCTGGAGAAATTCATCAGGTGTATTATTAAGCAAATATGTGGTTTGAAATACTTCTACATTTTTAATCCATTTAATGGATTCTTAAACTCCAAAGAAATAGGCATTTCACATAGTTTGAGGACATACAAATTTCCAAAAGAGACATTACTGTACCTGAGGATTGCATAAAGCACTAGTCATGACCTTCCTCATAGCAGCACCCATTTCACTGAGTTCATGTAGCATATTGAGGAAGGCATCTGCTTCCTGAAGTCCCTTTAGGTACACGGAGGGAGAACTGCAGAAAGACAGGAGAAACAAGATCTTCATTCTCTGCTTTGAATGAGTAGTAAGCAGTTAGAGTAGAACTTTAAGCTTACCTTTTATCACGAAGGTGCTGCACAAGACGATAAATGATCCTGGGCATCATAGCCTCTGCAACACATACAAGGTCAGGTGGAGCTGCAGGCTTATTCACCTGTGACTTAGGCCCATGTCTATGACAGAACCTGTAAATCAAAATAAGGAGATTTAGAATCACTGCATACATGCCAGAATATGTGGAGTAAAATATAGTGAGGCTGTGCTGAGTTTCTCACTTGGGTAAATTTGCTGATGTGTATTATGTGTTGTAAAAACTCATTTCTGTATGAATAGAAAGTGTCATGCTTTCCTTGCAGCTCTTTATTTCTTTATTACTATTTCTTCAAAAGCCTCCAGCTTGACACCCCATTGACATCCATGTGTGTTTCAACATGATAAATTAATGAGAGATGGTTGATGAAACACATGCAGCTGGTTTTGAATTTAATTCTCACTATGACACACAAATACTACTTGCAAAGGCTACTGATACCAATGCCCAACATACCCTATGCTTCTAAGCACATCAGCACCTCATGGAAACAAGGAACAGCTTCTTTTTTATTATTGTGTGGGAGTTTACCTAGATGCACTTACATAACCCATAGATATGTGCAACTGGTACATATTTTACCAATGGGTTTATGTGTTGCAGGATCCCACTTTCAGTATTCACTTTTTAGACTCAACTGAATAATTCTATTAAATTTGCAAGCTACATAGCAGCCAACCTCACTCTTGATATGTGGATGTTGACAAACTGCCAGGGGTACAACTTTACCCTATGCACCTTATATCATTATCCAGGCAATACACCTTAATATGGAGTTTAAGGGTTAAAAAATGTAAAGGAAAAATAGGAAAGCATAAATTCCAAGTCCATATAAAAAAGAAAGCCTGACATTGATGCAGTAACCCTTTCATGGGAGAGTTTTTCTGAGCCAGTACACTTGCACAGAGTGAGATTCTTTTTTTTTTTTGAAGAATGACAGCTTGTGTTTATGGGAAATATTCACACATTAATCTGTAAAATTGTTCTAGGAAATATATCCAAATTAATTTACATTAAGGTGTGGTACACTCACAACCTTTACAGTGCATTTTCAGGCAGGCCCACCTAGGGCAAAACTGATATTTTAGTGTGTACCCATGAAGGGGTTACACAAAATTACAAAACTCAGACAACTCAGAACATTGACAACTTCATTTTTTCATGTTCCACAGATACTGATGATCTTCACTCACCCAGATTCTCTCATGACATTAGTATCACCACAATCACAGGCACCTCCAGCCTGACTCCTGAACATGTTGAAGTCATGTCCCTCATGATTTCCCTTCTGAAAACACTCAGCACAGAGTGACATACAGGGGGAAATCCCACAAGTTCGACATCTGTAGGCTACAAAATTGGGTGTCCACACAAGTCCACAAGTTGTTGCATTGTCGTATCTCCTCACTGAAAGAGAAAAACAATTTAATGGGATTCAATTCAATCAAAATGGGCTACCTAGAAATTATTTCCATAACAAAACTTTTCAGAACTTCTTGACTGGTTAAGATAAATGCACTAATTTCAACAGGACTTGAAAAACAAAACCTAAGAATACATATTGGAAAATTAAGTTTGCTTTTACTTTTCCTGTGTGCATTCCTCATCACCCTCTGAAGAAGAAGGGATATATATTCCAAAATACAAAAAAATTTTCATCTAATCCTTACTTATTGTCTCCTGACCTTGCTACTCCTTTTTACCCTTGTGAAAAAATATATACAAAGCTTTAAAATCCAAAAATAGGCATGTTTTTCATGCATATTAAAAGACTGGATTACCAAATGACCATGACTGGGTAAAGTGTGGGGATGAGAAAGTAATGGCACATCAGCCATATAGTCTGAATATTCATCTAACATTTCCAAGTAAATAAGTTGACTTTATTCTCCAGAATTTTAGGGATCGAGATTCAGCAATTTGCTTAACTGTCCAGATGAATAAGTCTTGCTTTCAATTAGCTTACCTGTATTTGCAAATTCATCAGGGGTGCGGCCTGCTGCCATGAGCCAGCGGCACCAATCCACAGTGTCCCAGTCTTCAATGAGCTTTGTGGGATCCAGCAAAACATCCAGAAGCTCTGAAAGCTGTGGAGTCTCCTTCACACTTCGCACACATTCTGAATGTATGTATGAAGCGGCTGCCCGCTTTCCTTTCTTCAGCAAGACATGGGCTGCCATTTCTCAGGTTGGCAAGCATAAAAACATCATTTCATCCATCTTAATGACATGCCATTCTCTCAGCGCTGCAGAATGAGAAAAGTTCTTCAATTTGCCAATCAGTTGTATTTACCTGTACCATAACAGTATGGTATTACATCTAGAATTGACACTAGCCTAAATTAGATCTACTGTGTCCTGGTGTGGGCTTAGCTGCATACAGCTTAGGACTACTTGTCTATCTGATATGGCCAAAGTCTCATTTGAAGAGTTTACTAAGCTTCTCACCTTATGGTTTCATCAACTCGGCTCAAAATGTGCTTACTTTAATGCTGATGCAATTTTTAAAAAACCTTAGCAACCTATGCCAATTAAATATGGACAGGGGCCTGTTCAGCTGAAAGTTGGCCAGGTGCAGTTGGTTAACCTTTAACTTGTGACTGGGATCTCCTCAATCCCAAGAATAATTGAGTATGCACTTCTTTATTTTGGACACTCATATAGCCATAGTTTTCCTTTCATTTTGACAGTACTGATGGTTGTTATCATGGCAATGTGTTTAAATGGATGCAAATAAAATCACTAGGCAGGGTTCATTTATGGCATTTAAATCTGCCTTTTAAAGGTTAACTATCAACATGGAAAGTTGAGAGCCTGGTTACTCTCTGTTCTGAGGAAGGCTGACTGTTCACACTGGGTGACTCTTGAAGGAACATACCTACCTTCAATCATACAAAAACTTTCATCCATTTCCCAACCCTCCCTCTACTCTGCTACCTGACTGAACTCAATATCTTCTTCAATTACATTTTCTATATCATGAAGAAAACCAGTATATATAAGGTCTGCTGAGATCAGACTTCTGAAATTGAATATAATTGCACGAGTGAAGTTATTCAGCGAGAATTTTTCCTTTTATTACATTTATTTACACCTTTGAAAATACTAATATAATTTTCATTAAATTGTACATTTTTCCACATCATGGAATATAGATTATAGGAAGGCTTACACTACTCTTTGATTTTTGCTTAGCAGAATTCACCATTTTGCAAGCACTGATCCACCAATCTCATCGGCTAATAAATGCACTTACTTATTTTTGGGCTTCCAACCTTTCACTGTCTTGCAAGCCATTAATGAAGGGTTCATTTTTGTGTCTTTCTTACTCTTTTTCGCCAAATATCCTCTGTATTTATCTTACACCATCGATGTTTCGCCTAGGCCCATTTTTTGGCAAATAGCAAGGATAGGCCTACTGTTATCGCTTCCCATCTCTCTGAATCGCATCCGTGCTTGACGAAGGCGATATCATTTTGTGTCCTTAAGTTATGCGTCAAACATTATCAAAGCCCTATGATAGGTTAAACTTTATGATAGAGCTTCTCTCCAAGCATGGATTCCACGGCTGGGTCAAGGCTTAACGGCTACGGTAAGGTTATAGCCTGACTTACACTAGACCTAAACTCCTTCGTGTCTGTCCACCATCACATACGTGAACCGCAAAATGTGCGAACTCAATGTGTATCCCTGACCGGTCCCTTTTGTCGGAAATCCTGGGATCGATAAGCACACCGTCCGAGAAGAGAGGTGAATTCGCGAAGAATACGAAACACAAAATTAAAAGGCAGAAATAGAAACGGAGGGCCTGCGTCATCACTCCTCCGCGTATCGCCATGTTTGAGCCAGGATCCTCAAAACACTTCCTCGTTGGTTGGTTCAGTACAACCAGGCTAGATGGCAGCACTTCAGTTCACCCTTTTACGGCCACTGCGATTCCTCTCCCTCTGTCCGCAAGGGTAAGTCAGACTAGCAACGTCCTTGAGGCCCTTCCTTGTTGCTGTCTAAGTCAAACAGACCCAAAATTGGCAGTTCCGGTCTTGGGAGGTCTCCCGAAGTGGAGGATCAGAATGGAGCCTCCTTGGTATGATCAGGTCGGATGATGATCCCCGGTAATTCTATCCATACGCTCCACTTATCCCGAAGTCCAATGACCCAATCCTCTTCTCAGACCCTCGATTGTCATCCCTCTCTCTTCTGAGCTGAGGTATGGTGTTCCGGCACGAGACACTACTCTAATTGATTCAATAATTCATTAGACCTCGTCCGTGTAGCGGCTTCAATCGAGGATTTCCTCCCGCTTATTCCGCTAATTACTTCTCAGCAACTTATTAGTCACTGTTTTCGCTTTAACCATAACGGGAAATTTTCTTTCAGAGCGTCACGATAACATGTCGACCTTTCCTGTGTACCTTGGATGATGCGCACGTTTCTTAGAACGGCGGTTTCGCAAGTCAGGCTTGAAGTAAAGAGGAGAAACGAAAAAAAGGGAGCACTATCCACAGTGTGAGAACTCACTTAGAGTGGCGAAAGAAACGACACTTTATGGATGGCCTGGAGGGAGTGGAAAAAATGGATGTTATGCATGCAGGAGAAGAAAACCTTGAGAGTGAGGGTCGCCAGGTCCCAATACGCTCCGGTCTGCCGCTTTAATTTGTGCCGAGTGCGTGCTTCCCGGAATCCTCATCGATGCCAGTCTCAATTTCTACGCAATATGAAGGAAGGACCTATCGAATTGTTGTTTTTCATCAGACCATCAAAGAAGCCTCGGTCTGGTTGCGTACTTGTGTAGAATGGCGTGCCAAAGGGGAAGGGGAAGTTATAGGGGGCGTGACACCCCCCCCCCCCCCCTTAGGATTTTCTGGGCGCGCTACTGGTTGCGTATGAAGTTTTCATTGGGATTTTTTTTCCCACCCCAATGCTGTACAACATTAGATCCTTTTCATGCTATTAGAGCTTTACGAAGTGCGAAAACTATCACTGACCCTTATCTTACACAGGTTCGACTAGACCGTGGCAATCATGAACGCGTTTCAACATCGACTTGCTCAACTGCATAGAACCAGGTCTTGGTCTCGTCCCATTTACCCGGATGGATGAATACTGGGAGAAGTGTCTCAACGCGATTGTTGAATGTTACATGACCCAGGACTTCGTGAGGGGAAAACTGGTTGCCATGTTCACAAAAGTCGGGCGTGTGTTCCCAAAATCCAAGTGTTGTCATGCAAATCTCCCTCTCGCCGCATAATCCGGCACCTCTTCTTTTAAAGCGGCCCCATAGAATTACCATAGATCCAGGTAGTTACGTAATGGACACTACCTTCATCTGAGTCTGGGATCGAAGATTCTCCGCGGCGGACCGTGCTTTCACTGGCTCACTGACTGCCCTTTCGCAATGCAGGAAATGCCCCCCCACCCTTTCTCATCCTGGCTGCAATAAGAGAAACACTTCCAAACTTCTTCAGCAGGGATGAAGCAAGTTTATTGCTTATTGGGGTATCCATCTCTCACGTTCGTCAAGAAAAAAATACAGAGAAAAAATCTGAAGATGAAAGTAACAAAGAGTTCGCATTCAAGGTAAGATGTTAAAACACAGTCGAATATAAAGACAGCGAAACGTCACACAGAAAGCTCTCAATCTCAAGTGTTCAAACGAATCAAAATTGGAGGAAAAATCTCGGCCAGCGATCCATCTTCACAAAAGTTTCATAACATTCCCATGACATTCATACGTATTCTTCCCATGCTTCGTCTTTTTCTGAACAGGATCGCGTACAACGAGCCCAGACGTGCATGAGATGGGTCATGTCCTGTCCTTGGATTACTTCTTTCCTCCCCTTTCTCGTGTCCAGGACAACACGAGCGTGGAAGGCATTTACACGGGTTGTGGCACAGTGTTGCGCAAGGAAGCTGTCTATCACAGTCCATTCATCCGCTTCCTGAGGATGATCACGGTTGATAATGCGGCATTCTTCCTGTTTAGCTCGGTCTTCTGATGAAGAGTACGCCAGGTTCTCGATTTCGAACTCTGGTGAACAAGGAGAACCGGCGATTACCACCGAGGTCTGGCGATTCAGTTTCCGGCGTCAATTCGGGGGTTGTTACAGGCGATTCCGTGGGAACTCTTTCGGTTGAAGGCTGCTCCGGTTGCCTTAGAGATTCCGATTGAGGAGCCGATCGCCGAGGGAGGGTGATCGTGGGTTGCTCCGGAAAGACAGGTCGTCGAGGAAGTGAAATTGACGGCTGTTCTGAAAAGCCAGGCCGCCTTGGAAGGGTGATAGAAGGTTGCTCTGAAGGGCTAAGTTGCCTGGGAGCCGAAGGTTGTTCTAGAAGAGCTGGTTGTCTGGGAAGAGCTACTGTGGGCAATCTCCTTGGAGGCAGGAGTCTTGGGGGTTCTACGAGGGGTTCTAGAGCAGGTAGAACTTCCGGTTCTTGATGTTCTGGTAATTCCGTCGCTACTTCCTCAAGTGACGGGTGGGTTGTGGTTGTAACCGGTTCGGTTTCGATGGCCTCCGTCGTCGTCGAACTGGGGAATCGCCTTCGTCCCAACAGCGCAGACACGCGATTTCGTCTCTCGTCCGTTGTCGCGTTGGAGCGACTTTCGCTTCTCTGCGGTTGCCTGATCTGCAGGGTCGGTCGATGTCTAAGACGGTTCAAAATTGCCAGCGATCCGCTGGTGGTGTTCGCATCCGGATCTGCTTCTGTCGCGTTTGCCAGGGGAACTTCGGACTTCGTCGACTTCGGTTTTTCAACGGTAACTGATCTTTGAGGTGCAGAAGTGCTGGGGATCGACGATTCAGAGGTCGCTGTTTCTGTCGTCGATTCGCCCCTGATCCTAAAGAACGGGTTTCTTCCACGTGTTCTGGCTCTCTGGGCAAATATGTTTGGCTGCCTTCGTCGTGATACGGGAGTCGTCACCTCTGTTTCCTCATTCAACGGATCTTGAGACACATCAGAACCATTAGAAGGATGAGCCTGTGCTTCGGCAGTTCCTTCGACGGCTGCCTCGGTAGTAGTGGTTTGACCCCTTCGGAAAGTTCCTTGGTTTCTGAAATTTTGGAAGCGAGACCGGTCAAATTGGGCTGGTCTCTTTCGTCTCACCGTGATTGGAGGAGGTGCAACAGTGGATGTCGGTCCAGCGGGTACATGTGATGAATTTGAAACTCCCTCTGCTGCTTCCGGTGGTTGCTCGTCATCAGACTCGAATCGAGATGTTGACGGGCGGAATCGATGTCTGTAGGCGAAGGGGTTCACTCCTCCTC